GGAAGTGAATACATTGTGGCAAATTTAAATGGCAATCTGAAAGCAGTTTCCATGACAACAGGAAATATGGTCATGGCAGATTCCCAGCCTGGATGGGTGGGGTGCCATCTTAATTTAAAGAAAGGTCAGATATCACCTACATCAAACCTGCAAGTGGCTAGCACATGCAAAGGATTACAGATATTGCTGTACGCACAGCGGCAAAATTCTGCAATCTTATTACAGTTGAATGATGGAAACTTGCGAGAAAAGAGATTGAAAACCTTCAGAGCCTTTCAAAAGTGGACTCATAGCATAGACAGAGATGGTGAAATGAAAGTGTCAATGCTACAGTCGGTAAGACAACTTTGTTGGACTTTTGATGGGCATTTGGATGTACATGTTGAATGCTTTATAGAGTCACTGGTGAGAGAGCTAACTGACATTGCTATCCAGTCTGTTGATGGCGCTTTCACTGAGGATCAAAGAGAGACTTTTCATACCGAAAACATGGAGATACCCTTTTTAAGGAGGATATCTCAACCTGCAGAGGACAAAGAAGAAGGAAGGGTATCTGACTATGATTCTGAACTGTTATCTTGAATCTGGCCACTAGGAGAAAGTGGATATGAATTTTTCCATGTAACAACCTGTTAGGGAGAAATTTCAAGAGTCTCTGATCTGCGGTCAAAGCTTTAGCCTCCCACGCCGATGTTCCTAGGGCTTCGTCATGCGTTCCTTCACCATGCAGGAACGCGTGATGAAGCCCCAAGAATGTCTGCTTGGGAGGCTGTCAAGGCTTCCCTTTATTAAAATCACACATAACGACATTGTTCTTCTTATCGTGGTATTTGTTGAACGAGTAAACCGTGACAATAGTTGCCATGGTACGAGACTCTGCAATGACCTCGCTTATTTCTTTTAGGTTTTTCACCGAATTGTCAATTAATTCTTACTCTAACCAGGTATTTTTTCCTTGAAATTCTGAGAAAGCATTCGGTGTTGGAAGATGGATTCACAAGCCTGCTAAGTTCACTTGCGCTTGTGACTGTCAAAGAACGCTGTATTTGGAACAAGGTCGAGTTTAAACCATTTAGAAGTTATAGAATCTGAACACAATATTATGTGTTGTTGTGTTTAGTTGTTTAGCAATTTTGCTGTGAAACTTCTAATTCGGGATTAAAAAGGCTAAATTTTGCAACTTTTCTTCTTCTTCTTTTTTGTTTTCGTTTATGTGATTCAGTGTTATAGCGTTTTAGTTTTTTCCCGTGTGTATGCGTGTGTCTGTTTTAGGTTATATTTGTCGCTTTTTCGGCATCGTTCTCTTTTTCTACTCATTTCCCCTTCAGTGACCATTAAACTAACATTCTGTGTCAAGCGCTGAGTGTTATTTCACCGTGATATTTTTGCCGCCTTTCCTATCCTTTGAAACTTATTTTGTCAACATTTACTATTTCTGTTTTGCATGATGTAATGTATGGAAAATAAAGATAAAGGTATGATTATTTGTGGGAATATCTTTTTATGAAGTAAGGAAAGAGGAGTTTTCACGCCGGGACAAGCAAGACGAGCGCCCACACCGCCCCGTCCCCTCTCCCCCGCCCCACTGCTCAGACCACTCCAGGAGCCAGTCCCGCACTCCCTGCCTGTTTATTATACAAAGAAAAACATTTCGTCAAGTGCTTATGTTATATATTTTTTACAGGTTCTTCCTGTCGTTCTCGATAATAGTCTTTCCTTGTGGACTTCTTTCCTTTCATTAGTATCTTTCAGGTGGGACAATGATAAGGTTTGTCTGCTTGACAGGGCAGGCAGTAGCCTGTGTACAGATGTCCCCCCACCCTCTGAAAAAAAATCGGGAAAAGATTCCGGGAGGCCGTCGGGTAGCGAGTTTACAATTTTGCGGAATTTCGTATCGCACGTGACTCCCACGCAGATAGCCAAGAGAAGTGTGACCTTAATCTAATTTCCAAATGTTCCGTGTTGTTCAATTATCTTCGGTCCTCCTCGGCTCTAAATTGATTACCATATTGCTGGAATTGGTTTCCTGTTCATAGTCTCTTTTAATAAAAATGAAGCCTGGGGGCACCCAGATTGGTCGGCCTTCAGGAGCTTATTGTAATTTCCACTCAAGCACGCACTTACCTTATATACGGGTGACCACGTGGTGACACCCGGACATACGGCGAACACGTAGAGTACGTGTACTAACCCCAGGATCATGGATATGTCGGCGCCCATTTTGATAGACACCCGTGAGAAGCTTAGCCTGCGAAAACATCCGTTTCTCCTCGCGAAACGTCCCCAGCGGCGAAGAGCGAGGAGAAAGGGATGTTTTCGCAGGCTATGAGAAGCTTCGCACAGACACAAAATGCGGCCAACCGTGAGCTGCCTGGGGAACCTGGGGTGAAGATCGAAGAGAGTGCAGTAATTTCCAGGCTCCTGGACAAATCGCGTCCAACATGGCGGAAGGAACATCGACGAAGTTGGAAAGTGTCGCAGATGTCGAAATCGATGCCACCGGGCGCTTCAAGTACATTCTTATTAAAGTAATAGACGACTCAGGAGGCGGTGTTTATAAATATGTAGTAAGAGGATTTGACTGGGCAGATTATCACGGTAAGTTTTGTAACAGCAGTGCCACTGTAGGGTTTTTTGGTGGCTTTGAGGCTGTGTATGGAGTCCTTGAGTGTAACGTTTCAGATATATAAAGTTATGAGTTTCACACTTCGGTTTTTGAAAGGCTACTACTGCCTCCAATGGAGGTTATTTAGCACAGCCCTTTTGTAGAAATGCCAGCCTCTTCAGATCTGAAATCTTGAGATTTTGTCGGGATGTACAAAGTGCGAGCTATTTGTTTGTTTGTTCGTTAGTTCATGACACTCGCATAAGGACAAGTAGAATTTTTTGATAGGCAAGTATTTTTATGCTGACCAATATACAGGTGGTGGAAAAAACACTGACCCCCAGTCCATTGACGACCCATATGGATTCCCCTAAAATGGACTATGCTGCTAAAGTTTAGTGATTAGGGTTAGGAAACTGAATGAATCAGGTTCCATTTCAGGTCATTATACTGGGAAAACTGACCTGAAACTTGATTCACTCAGTTTCCTAACCCTAGTCACCAAACTAGAGCATTTTAGGGTAGCCCACGCGGGTAGTCCATGGACTGAGGGTCAGTGTTTTGTCGGTGACCGGTCATTTCACCTACGAGTTGTTTCGCCAACAGCCTGTTTGCTAATGTCACAAGTCGTCCACTTAAAATCAAAACAAGTACAGTCGACTCTCTCTTAACGGACACCTCTATAAGACGGACACCTCTGTAAAACGGACACTTAGAGTTGGTCCCTGCCTTTTCTTATTCCTTTTATTTGACTCTTTATAAGACAGACATCTCTCTAAGACGGACACTTAGTGCCGGTCCCAAAGGTGTCCGTCTTGGAGAGAGTTGACTGTACTACACATGTACATACCTCATTCTTTCAGCCACATCAGGAAAAAGTCCGATACACATTATATATTTCATTCTTTAAGCCACTGATCAGGCAAAAGCTTAAACACAACTTAAAACATTGGTGAACAGGATGTTGGTGAAACTACTCGTGGGCGAAATGACAATAAACAGTTTTGTTCACCACCCAATTATATGCCTTATGGACAGGGGTCCAGGCAAGTCATCTTAAAACTAAATCAAGAAAGCAATACCCTGGGCAAGCAAAACACTCGAGCTGCTTCTCTAAAGGGCAAACAGGAATTCAAGGTTTGTAATGACCCTAAGTAAGGGACTACTAGCAGTATAAAAAATTGATGGCTACTTTTTGTGAGCTTTCACTGCTCAAATGAATGTTGCAACTACAGGAATAAAGTGAAAAGTTTCTAGTCAGAGCTCTCCTTATGGACTCTCTCATAAGTACACAGCTCTACTTACAGCCATTGTTATAAATTAATATTGTATTTTATATTGTTCTTTTCTACATTCCCATAGTAAAGTGACTCAATCACTTTCTGGGAAATCAATTTTGATTTTCCCTTATTTACAACCTTCTATTTTGTTTTTTTTCTTCACAAAATCTTGATACTTGCTTCTTTCCAATAATTGTTTGGGCGTGTACAAGAGGTTTGATGATGAATTTATTTCTTTGCAATTGACAGCTGATATATATGATAGAGTAGAGAAAGATATTAAAAGAATGGGATTGAAGTCAGAGTGTGTTGGAGGAGGCTGGATACAGCATGACAAATCTGAAAAGAAAATTCTGGTTTATGGTTATTCCATGGTAAGCTAGATATTTAAAAAACAGAAACAACAATACAACAAAATATCCATTTGAAAAATGTTTTACAGACAAATATTTCATTCTACATTAGCAAAGTTTATTCAGGCTGGGAGTTGAGGTGGCTTTACAAAACAGTGAAATATTATTAAAAAAAATTATAAAAGTGCTCTGTCGAAAAAGGGCATAGGCCACGATTTTGCTGTAAAATATATTGAAATTTCTCTAAGTACATTAAGATAACCACAAATATTTAACCTCTACAAGAAAAACAGACTTTCTGTTTAGCTAGAACAATGCTTCTGATCTAAAAGGCTAAATTGCACTAAAATTCTTATAAATACACAAAAACTTGATTGCTAAAACTTGCAGAATAATATAGAAAAATAATATTCAAAATACACTTGGCTGACCTTTCCATCAATAGGGAAAATTTGCATGAGTGGAGTGGGAAAACGGTAAACTTTTTGGGCTGCTGACTTGTGCATGTGTAGTAGCAGATGTCTAAAACTGGTCTTTCGGTTTAACAATGATTACTTTGACATGCGTGCTGTATCAAAATTTTAACCAAAGGAACAAACTGTACTCAGAAGTAATACACATCTGCCTTTGATCTACTTGAAGGTAAAGATTGTTGAGAGCCAGCTAAAACCCAGTTCCCGTACATAGCTTGTGAATCTTACAAGCCCTATCATAGCTGATCAGCTTCCATTCATTTTGTTTTAAGGGATTTGGTAGAGCAGATCATGCCATTACAGTGGATAAACTCAAGAAGGCCTATCCAGACTATACAAGTATAACATTCTCCAATGAAGGCTACTAGTCACAAATGATAAAATTAATTGAACAACAATAGATTTTATCTATTAGACATGTGTATAGCCACTGTCAGTCCTTCTGTGAAGTAAGCCTTAGCACAGCGGGCTTAAGGCAAAAAAAGATAACAAAGTGATAAAGATAACTTCTAGCAGTGATAGTTACCTTAAAACTTGTAACAACTGTTCTTTCTTGAAAGACAAAGTTACTCTGGAAAGTACATTTTATTTTTCTTTGACCGCAGACAAAAAAATGACAATGTGTTTAGCTGCTAACCCTTCTTTGAGCCTTCAAAGGCTATATATGTATCCTACTTTTGATGAAACCATTATGCCATTCCATTCATTCATTTCAGGGATGAACCTCACTACTGGTTGGAAGTTTTGGCATTATTTCCCCCATTTTGCCTTCGGCCTGGATGATTTGAAGGGAAAATAAAGTGGCAGTAATGCTAAACTTTTCGGCCTTTTCCTGTTGATGGAGGCTAACCTTAAGCTTCTTTAGTGCTTTAAGCAACCTCATGATTGCTTCCATTTGCCAGAACTCGATAATATATAGATTTAGCCAAGGTTAAAAGCGAAGCTCCCTTGGATTTTTTTAAGAAATGTCTTTCTGGAGTTACTCAGTTTTAGCTATAAACAGGAAATATACTCAATTACTCCTCGAAAAAAAATACCGGAGCCTGCGATCAGTAAACCAATAATTGGTCGGCGGAGAACTTTAAAAAAGAAAAGTCACCTCAATAAATTGTTCACCTGAGCCCGCGATACAGTTATGTGATTCTGGTCAGTGGATGCCCTGTTTTGACAGCTGTAATTGGACCATAACATGGATGTCCACTCATAGAGTAAGAACTTTTAACAACACAAGGAAATTCTAAGGCGTTGATGTTTGTGAGGTGAGAAAAAGTATTCCAACGTTCAACCCGATTTCAAAGCATAATTAACAATTATTTAGCAAAATATAATTATAATGATAAAAATGATAATAACAATTATAATAATATTTAAAGAGGGAGCCCAACTTGCCGTGATTTTGTCAGTGGCGAGCAGATCAATTCGGCTGAGACACATAATTGATCTGCAAGGCACTGAATCACGATATTTTGTGATGACCGAGTTCAATTATTTATTATTCGATCACCGAGTTTGTTACTTCGGCGGAGCGCGAAGTAAAGGATTCGCGACGCTCAGGAATGTATCAAAGTTGACTTTTATGGACAAGATTGGACAAGCAAAGTCTGTAGGTTTTCGGTTTTATTCGGCTATTTGACGAAGTGAGACCCGAATTAGTTCGAGATGTCTCGACATCACTTCGATTTCTTTGATTTATTCTTTAACTTTTTCGAGGAAGAAAGAATTATTGTTTTGGCTTTCCCGGGGTTTGAACCGACTTACCTGTGTCACCCGTCAGATCAGAGGAGACTCTAAGTTGAGGGATTAGCCGATTGCGCTACTGCGACCCAAGGTAGTTCGGGATATGAAAAATAGTTATGAAATGATGCACTAGTTTCGGGACAAGATTGGGCGTGCAAGTTCGTGACTTTTGGGCTTGTTTCGGCTATTTCATGAAATGAGACCGTACTACTTCGTGGTATCTTGAGATCACTTCGAGTTTAGTCTTTAATTTACTCGAGGAATAAATAGAGGATATTACGTGGCCGCGCAGAGACAGAAAATTTCTCTTCGAGTATTGAAAAACATTGGACGAGTGAGCCCTCCTTTCGAACCAAGAGAGGATAAAGGGGACAGAGAAGGCATCCCCCATACACACCCTATTCCATAGGTAATTCGTCTCGAGTTATTTTTAAGACACACAGATCCCAAGGGGGATTAGACAACAGCCAATCACATAGCGCCAATGTGTTCCGCGTGGATGACCCACGCGCAGAGGCACGCGTCCTTCACGAATTGACGAAGAAAAAAATGGCGGAAGACTCGGGAGAGCGATAATGCTATTCGTTTTGTCGACTAAAACGACTAAAGAGAGATTTCTGCTAAAGCGGTGTCAGCGAAATGGAAATTAAAAAAGAATCGCCCTTCCTCTCTTGTATAGAGTTAACAGTACAGCAGGGAAATCCTTAACACGCTGAATATTCTCTCAGGATCATTTATAATTTACAGTTTGAAGAGAGCAATTTCTGGTTTGATATTTTTTCTTTTTAGCCTTTTATTATTCAACAAAAATAACACTTGGCGTCCTACTTACTTTATTGTACAAACAACCGGTTTCAATAGACCGGCGAAATTTCTCATTTTATTAAAGCACTGAGATTACGACAACTTCGAGTTAAACTGATTTCACGGGTTGTCAAAGAGTCCAGCGATGGTCTTTTCCCAGATGAGCGCCGACTCATTTCGCTTCAATATTGAGAAATGCTCTCTATCTCTTTACGTTTTCATTGCCTTTCGCCCGACATGTTTTGCACGGCGTTTAGTCATGCGAAACCTCCACGAAACATCCACGCAGCGCGCGAGGTAACTTTATCCCGATTCTAAAGATAACTCGAGACGAACGACCTATGGAATAGGGTGTGTATCATGGGGATGCCTTCGCTGTCTCCTTTATCCTCTCTTGTTTCGAACTGATTAATGATGAATTTAAAGTTACAATTTTTTTGTTTTAATATTTCTCTATTGACAAAAAGAAAAAAACCAAAATGCTGCACAAAGACATTTTGTCTTTGTTGAGTGTTACGTAGTAAAATTGCTTTCATGCGTTGCGTGACTTTCTCGAACGTTCTCTACGTTTTTGGATTATTCATGAATAATTAATTCGGGCATGTTTACATTTCAGCATGAGTCAGCAGATTTGGATCAGCAACTGAAATCACAAAATATGTCGAAAAGCTACTACTATTCGCCTGTTTAGTATTTTCTAGAACCTTATGTCAAACGGTATACAAGTTCCAAGCGAGTTCTTTTGACGAACTAAGTTTTTTTCCCACGAGCTGGACTGCTGTGTTTAGTCAAGTGTGACGAAGGTCGATTTTCAAGTTCTGTGTTTACAAGTTGGCGGAAGCCGTAAGATATCTGAAGTCCAAGTGAGAGTTTGTTATTATTGGCAGAGGCTGTTTAATTTTACTTAAGTTCAAGTCAAGTTTGTGTTGGCGGATGCTGTGTTTTAAAGCTCTGTAAAGGCTATGTTCCTTTTGTTTTAAACTTCTTTGTGTTAATCCGACATCCCTGCGTGCTGATAGTCAGTGAAAAATTATCCTCAAAACATTCGAACTCGTCACATTGAGTTTTAGCCAATTCCATGCTCAACGTAATTGACTCCTTACCCATGCCTTACATATCTTTAATCAGTACGTACATGAGACTGCTATGCTGTTTTTGAAGCCTGATGTGACTAAGAAAAATGGAGAATTCTTTTTTCACTGTTTGTTTTGTTAGACTTGTTATTCACCGCCAGTAACCTCATATTTGACTTAGGTCTAAACGTTTAGACCCAAGTCAAATTTAGAAGGATTTGTATGGAGTCATCAGAGCATAACTGGGCTAACATCTCAGAGACAATTTGTCCCGGAATGTCAGTTTTTGGCAAGTAGGCCTCTTGGATGTTGCTTTTTTCAGAATATCCTGACAAATCCCATAATTTCACTGTTACTACAGCAGCGCTGTAGTAAAGAGTTTTCAGTATTTATGGTCAGCGGTTGTTACCATTTTGCTTAGGACTCGTGCTAGTTGCCGCCATGTTCTTGTTTATCACATGTGTGATTTAGGTTTACAATCCATGTAATCCTTCGCTCAGCCGTATCGTGTAAGGCAGGCTAAGTTGTTATCTGAAGAACTATTATCTGAAGAACTGAAGAGTTAAAGATTATTTGGAGATAAAGGAAAGATCTGACGATTCAAGTTTTTCTCTTTTTTCTTGTGAATAACAACGAAACTCCTTCGGATGCCAAGTACGACTTTCGAGGGCAGCCACAATAACAACTTAATGGTCCTTGGTGAAGCTTTTAACCACTGTAAAGTTATCGCTGTCACAACAAGAAGTTCATAACGAAAGCCGGACGACCTGTGGAGGATTTGAATGGATACCAAGTGGTGTAACCCTTTGTAGAAAGCTAGTTCTGATCGCCTTTGGTTTGGACTTAGTACTCGTCATGTCTCGAGAGTTGAGTGATATTCCTGAGGATCCAATGTCGGATGTTTGTGGTGAGGTGGTAAGTTCCGCTTCAAATAATTGTTTGGATGATGTTTGCGAGAAGTCTTCGCCTTTAATTGTTGATCTATCGGAGAATGCCGAAAACAACGGATTTTTCCATGTGGAAAATGAACAGCATTCGTCGGAAGTTCGTATTAGGAAGCTAACCGAAAAGGGTCAATCCTATCAAAACGATATAAAGTTGAACTCTTTCAAGAATAAAAGGTCAAGTTTTACGGGAACACTGAGAAAAACACTGTTGCTTCGGGGACATTGTAATGAATTATCAAAGTGGAAGCAAGAGCTTAGTAAGGCACAGGTTCTGTGGAATGAATTTGTGGATGCATATAATGACATTTTGGAAACAGTTCAAGACGATGAGTTAGCAAAGGTCAGGAACATCTGGGAGCAAGTTTGTGGTGAGTGGTCTGATTTTGAAAGAGATGTGAGGGATGAGATAAAGTATTTGGAACAAACAGTTTTGGAGTCTAATTCTGTCATTTCTAAGGGTTCAAAGAGGAGTAAAACAACCAAAAGTGTCAAGTCAAAATCAAGTTCAGACAGTGTACTTTCAACTAAAGTAGATAAATATAAGCTTCTACAGGAAGAAGCTGCTTTGAAGGTGAAGCTAGCCTATGTGGAACAAGAAAAGGCCTTAGAAATAGAAAGGTTAAAACAGAAGCAGAAACTGGAAGAATTCAAACTTAAGAGGGAACTTGAACTTAGTAGAGCCAAGTTAAGTGTATGCAAAGAGATTGATAATGAGCAAACACCCTCCCTTGAAGAAGATCTAGTCAATCTTCCTAGTGAGAGTAAAGGCGAAGGAGTGAAAAGATTCTTGCAATCTCTAACAGTAACTACCCGTGCAAATGAGACTAATACATCAGTTCAGTCCCAAGTACATGTATCCCAAACACCTGTTTTGACAACAACATCCACACCAAAGACTACAACATGTGGTCTGCGGGCTTCTGCTCCATCATTCTCCCCGGGAGCCGTAACACAGTCAGTATTTGCTGTTCGTCATTTTGAACCTGAACTCGGTCTTCCCATTCAAACAGAAGCAGCTTGTACACAAGCTTTCTCGTCGGCAAAAACTGATCCTGTTGTAACTAACTCCATAAGTGGTCCATCACCAATTATGTCAACAGTTATGAATTCCCCTTCAAGTTACCAGTTTGTTCATCCTCAAGGTCAAGTTAACTCCTTCTGTGAAGGGTGGGAAAAGGTTGCTTCATCATTAGAAAGGTGTATGGACAAGTTAACAGAAGCTAACTTAGAACAAAGTACTGTGAGCAAAGAACTGTTTGTTTCTGGACAACTTCCAAAACTGACCATTCCAGTATTTGAAGGAGACCCCCTGCAATATCCTGTGTGGAAGAGTGCCTTTAATGCTCTAGTTGACTCTAGACCACTGGCAGCAGACATCAAGCTGAATATGTTGAATCAGTATGTAACTGGAAAGCCAAAGCAAGTTGTGGAACATTATCTTCTGATTGGGACAGAAGATGCTTATCAGAAAGCTAGGTCTGTATTGCAGGAAAGGTATGGAAACTGTAATGTTGTGAGTACAGCATTTATTAACAAGTTGGAGAAGTGGCCTAAGATAGGACCCAAGGATGCCAGTGCCTTAAGGGAGTTCTCAGACATGTTAGACAAGGTATTAGCAGCAAAGAACACCATTCCAGGTCTTTCTGTACTGGACTATGCAAAGGAGAATGTAAAGTTACTATCAAAGTTACCCTACTACCTTGAAACCAAGTGGAGAGATGCAATTAAACAATGGAGACATACCCATGGTGAAGCCAG